GATTTCTCGCTTTCTGTCTCTCTGTCTCTCTCTGTCTTTCTGGCAAGCACACGTGTCCTATAGCAGAAACCTTTTCAAAAAACAAAAATTAGTGTTGTCAATATTTTGGGTTTAAGCCATTCTTATAGATGTTTAGTGGGATTGTATTGTTGTTTAATGTGCAATTCTCTGACATATATGATATCAAGCATCATTTCATATATTTATTTGCCATCTATTTATCTTCTTCAGTTATATTTCTGTTCAGATCTTTTTCTCTTTTGTAAATTAAGTTATTTTTATCTTTTTTTAAGTTTTAAATATTCTTTGTTTATATCAGAAACTAATTCTTTATCAGATCAAGATCAATGTTTTGCAGATAGTCCCCCAGTCTGCAGCTTGTCTTTTCATTCTCCTTTTGTTTCTGGAGAGATTTTTGCTAGAGGACATGTGCACTTGCTGGAGAGACAGAGAGACACAGAAAGCAAGAAGTCATCTCCAAGGGGGGATAGTTATGTTGCAGTACCTTCTCCTTCATTCTCCTCTTGGGATTTTGGGCACACACACATGTGCCTGGTGTGAGTTTTAAGCTTCCAGGACTCAAGCTGTGGTCAACTACGTAAGAGTCCAGTGACAACCATTACACCATCTGCTGGTCCCGTCTTTTCATTCTCTTAATCATTAATCATGGTTTTCAAAGACAAAAGTTTTTACTTTTAATTAAGTCCAGCTTATTATTATTTCCTCATATGTTATGCTTTTAGTACTGTATCTAAAAAAGTCATTGCCAAATCAAGGGCAATTTAGATTTCCTCCTATGTTATCTATTAGGGGATTTATAATTTGTTGTTGTTGTTTATTGTTTGTTTGTTTGAGAGGTTTTTTTTTTGGAGAGGTTTTTGCTATAGGACACGTGCACTCGCCAGACAGACAGAGAGAGACACAGAGACAGAGAGACAGAAAGTGAAATCATCCCCCGGGGGGATGGCCATGCCTCAATCTCTTCTCCTCCATTCTCCTCTCGGGATCTTGGGCATACACACACACGTGCCCAGTGTGAGTTTTAAGCCACCGGGTCCAGGACTCCAACCGGGTCGATTATGTGGGAACCCAGTGACATAGCCATTATGCTAACTGCTGGTCCCTGAGAGATTTTTGTCTATAAGGGGCATGTGCTCACCAGAAAGACAGAGAGAGACAGAGAGACAGAATGGGAGAAATCACCCCCCAACACACACAGGGGAGTTGGGCACTCAACAATCCCTTCTCCTCTATTATCCTCTTGGGATCTTTGGCACGCACGCACACGCTCCTGGTAAGAGTTTTAAGCCACTGGGTTCAGGACTTGAACTGCAATCGACTACATGGGAGTCCATCGACATAGCCATTACCCCAACCGTTGGTCCTAAGTTTTGTTTTATATTTAGACTTATGACCTATTTTCAGCTAAACTTTGTAAAATGTGTTATGTCCATGTATAGATTCACCTTTCTGCATATAAATTTCCAACTGTTCTAGTATTGTTTGTTGAAAAGTCTGTCCTTTCTCTACTGAACTGCCTTTGCCTTTTGTTTATTCATTTGTTTTAGTCTTTAAAGAGATCAATTATAAATAATATGATTTCTAAAACTTTAGAAAATGAAACCTTTCTAATTCTGGAGATTAGCCTGAACTCATCTGCAACATGTAGTTTGCCATTTCCATGCTTAGATAAGTACAGTATAGGATTGATAGCTTAAAATTGTAGCTCTAATGTAAAAGTCTAAAATATTGTTGCTTAAGAGGATTCATGCTCAATATGCAATCTTACCTGTATTTATAACCCAAAATGCCAATGTATTATATACTATAAAAACATCTTGCTGCTTTGCCTACTAAATATATACCTTTGATTTTTAGAAAAAAAGGTGTTTTTTTTGGTTTTGTTTTGTTGTTGTTGTTGTTATAGGGGATATGGGAGGAGAAGTGATAAATCACCCTGCACAGGGGCTGGTCACACGTCAATTCCTAGAAGTGATAAATCACCCTGCACAGGGGCTGGCCACACTTCAAATCCTTTACTTGCATTCTCCTCTTGTGATTTTGGACACACACACATTCCCAGTATTATTTTCAAACGGCAGGATCCAGAACTTGAACCTATTAGGTCAGCCATGTGGCATCTAGCTGCCTTCGCCTCCTTGCCACCTGCTGACCCCTAAAAGTAATTTTTTTGACAGATGCTAGGAAAACTTAAGTAATAGTCAAGATGTGGTTAATTTTACATGTTGTTTGATCAGGAGGTCAGGTTATATCTGGCCATTTATTCAAACACTATTTTTAGTGTTCTGGGAAGAAGTTTCTGGGTGAGATTAATATTTTAATTTCTAGGCTGAATAAAGCATGTGGACCTCAAATAATCAATTGAAGACCTGAACAGAACAAAAAGGCAAGGTGTGAGAGAATTCTTTATTCCTTGATTGTTGATCTGGAACATGAGTCTTTTCCTGCCTTCAGGATCGATATGAAAAACAGGCTCTTCTTGGGTCTCTAGCCTTTGTGTCTTTGGACTGAGACTTACACTTTCACCTCTCCTGGGCTTCTGTAGTCACATGAGACAATTCCTTATAATAAATCTCTCTAAAATATGTATCATAAAACATCCTATATTCTATTTGTGCCATTTTTTTTCTAGATAATTCTAATACAAACTTTTAGACTTATAAGCTAGAATTTCACTTTAGGTAACCTACAATTCAAATGGGAACTAAAACAAAACAAAGTCAAATAAGAGACTGGCACCAAAAAGAGAATGGGGGATAAAGAAGAAATTTTAAAAAAAGAGAGAGAGAAAGAAAAAGCATTTTATGTATCTGAAGTCTAGTAGTTGAGTCTGTAGTCAAAATGATTCTAGATTATTAAAATTTATGAAGGTATACAAAGAAAAGTAGCTGGTTATATTGTATAATATAATACGATATTGGTTATGGTACCCACAATCTTATTCCTTAATTTCTCTAAACTTTTATGGATAACATATATACCAATAAATATACCTGCTATGGTCTAAATATTTGTTTTTCTCCCAAAACTCATAGGCTTTAAACCTAGTCATTTATATGGTTATATTAGGCAGTAGACTTGTTGGTGGGTAATTAGGTCGCAAGGATCGAGCCCTCATGAGAAGATTAACAAATTTATGAGGATGGGCCTTAGAGAAATCCCTTGTTTCTTTTCCTCTGTAAGAACACAGTGATAAGGCATCATCCATGAGCCAGAAGACAGACCCGTCACAGACATTGAATCTTTAGGTACCTTCATCTCATACTTTTCATCCTCCAGAGCTGTGGAAACTAAATTTATGTTGTTTATAGGCTACAGAGTCAAGACAATTTATTATAGCAGCTCAAATAAACTAACACCGTAGTTTACAGAAAATAGTTTTGCAACTTAGATAATTTATCAAGTTATAAATCAGGTCATCTGTTTCTGAATAAGTCTATAAATATATAAGGCATAGGCATAGGTCTTAATATCTAGCCAACAGTGAACATTAGTATCAGAATACATAGTTAATAAAACTAGTCTAAGTCAATGTTTTTGTTTTGCTCATTTATTTGACTTAGTTATATGTAGCTGAACTTAATTTTAGCTAGTGTAAGAGGTGTGGATTTATATTATTATACATGACACAGTACATCAAATTAATTTCCAGAAAGGCTATAAGAATAAAACCCTTACAATGATATTGAAGTGAATAACTATCACAAGAAACTCACAAATATCCAGGATTATTACTTTAAAAGATGTTGTCAATTTGGTAACCAAAGTCTTCTAATTCCTTTGTGAAGCAGAAATAGTGAATAGTGAATCATATGAAAATGACACTTGGAATAGCAAATTGCATAGAAAGACTTTTTAAAAGAGAACAGAATTCAAATGGTTATTGAACATATGAAGACATGCTCAAAACTCACTACTAATCAAAGGACTGTGAACCCTATCATTAACAAGATCTTATTTTTTCTGTTTAATTTTTTAAAATTTACATTTAACCATGGTACATTTTTACAGCATATGATAAAGGTGGTCAAAGCATAAATGCACTGCATATCAAGCAAATCAAGATATTACTGTACACAATAACTCCATTCTTGTGTCTGTTAATTTTTTTTTGTCTTAGTCCCTCCCTCCCACCCCCAACTGTCCATCTCCCCCTATACAGTCTCTGATATTTTCACTTGCTGTCGCTGCTATTATATCTGTCAATCTTTCAGTTTCTACCATAAAATGCAGACATTTGGAAAAGTCTTTTCAATATTTGTATTGCCTCTGCTGAGATGTTGTATTAGATACTAAACATTATATTTCAGATTCTTTCCCATTATTTTTTATAAGTTCCTCCCTATGTCTCTACCTCCCTTTTTTTTCTTATTTTTTTGCTTGCTTCCTTCATTTTTTGATTTATTTCATCCACTTAAAAAATACAATAACACAAATGATCTTGAATATGCCAGGCATATTGGCACATGATGGTCCTCTCCATCATGCCACTAAGAGACTCTCCCTAACTAACCTATATGAAGGCTTATTCTGTCTTAATTTTTACCATATATAAAGTTTGCTTAAGTTCTTACAATTACTTGATTTTTCCACTTGTTTATTTCTCTACCATCTGTGTCCAAACAGAAAATTCTCATTGAGGAATATTTTTTCCACAGCTCTATCTCCAATACTTAGACAAGTGCTAGGAATAGAAAGTATTCAATACGGCCACATGAATCATCAGGTGGCACAGTGGGAACACACTGCTCAAGCAATGATGGCTCCATATGGAAGACTGTAGGTTCACTTCTCTGGTCAACTTGTACATACCTGGCACCTGCTCTTGATCTTGGCTTCCTGGGAAGGCTGGGGAAGAGATCAAGGTGTAAGACCCTGTTGAGTGTTCTTGCTATTCCACACTAACCATCCACACAGATATTAGATTTTACTTAGTATTAATATTTTATTAATCTGACCTTGATTCCTCCAGTCCAATTTTAATGAAAAAACCTAAGTATTTTATCTCTCATCTGCTTGGTTTTTACCACATACACAATGGGGTTCATCACAGGAGGAATGAGGAAATGCATGTTGGCCATGGTCACATAAACGTGTGAGGGAAGTCTGGGGCCAAAGCGGTGTAGCATGGACAAGCAGACCATGGGTGTGAAGAAGAGGATCACAGCGGAGACGTGGGAGATGCAGGTGTTGAGCGCCTTGAGGCGGCCACCATGCGATGCAATGCTCAAGACGGTTTTCAGTATCAGTACATAAGAAAGCAGAATAAGAAAAAAGTCAAGGACCATGGTGAAGAGCACCACAAACAATCCCATAATGCTATTGATCCTAGTGTTGGAGCAGGAGAGCTTTATGATGTCAGGATGCAGGCAGTAGGAATGAGAAAGTACATTGGAGCGACAGAAGCACAGCCTCCTCAAAAGGATGGGGAGGGGAACTTCTACCGCTAAGGTTCTCACAACAATGGCCAAACCTATCCTGGAAATCACACTGCTAGTGAGGATGGAAGAATAGTGCAATGGACGAGAAATGGCCACGTAGCGGTCAAAGGCCATTGCCAGGATAATGCCGGACTCAAAATTCTGGAATGTATGAATAAAGAACATTTGGGTAAAGCATGCAGGGAAGGTCAGCTCTCGATTATTCTGCCAGAATATCCTCAGCATTATGGGAAGGGTGAAGAAGGACAGACCCAGATCAGAAGTAGCCAGCATGGCCAGAAAAAGGTACATAGGTTCATGGAGGGTCTGCTCCCACCAGATAACTGTTATGATGGTCATGTTGCCCACCAACGTAATAAGAAACATGACACAGAAGGGTATGGAAATCCAGATGTGCACGGCCTCCAGCCCAGGGATGCCTGTAAGCAGGAAGGTGGAGAAGACAGTGCTGTTGGTACTATTGACAGCAAGCATGATGCCAGGGCTGCATGCCTTTCCTAGAATAAAACACATGGTCTGAGGCACAGGTAGTGATATTTAGTATAAAATTTTAGAATTTGAGCATATATATTCTGTAACTTGAATTACTAGCACACTTAGCAATGCTTTTTTTTTTTTTTTTTGGGGGATTTTCACTTTAGGGGCGCGG